ATGAGAAAGTCTTAGGACCTGAAGTTCCATATCTGAGTGCCATAGGAGCACTAATGTATCTTGCAAATTGCACTAGACCCGATATTGCTTTTGCGGTAAATTTGCTAGCTTGATATAGTGTGGCCCCAACCAGAAGGCACTGGGTAGGAGTTAAAACAATACTTAGATACCTCCGAGGTACTATAGATCTTGGCCTACTTTTCCCAAGAATCATGATTTGACTATGATCGGTTATGCAGATGCTGGATACCGATCAGATCCTCATAATGCAAAGTCATAAACTGGTTTTGTATTTCTTTGTGGTGGTACAACCATTTCGTAGAGGTCTTGTAAGCAAACTTTAGTAACAACATCTACAAACCACTCAGAGATAATAGCACTGTATGAAGCTGCACGTGAATGTGTTTGGCTAAGACGGATGATTAGCCACATCCAGAAGTCATGTGGCCTTAATACTATGGATACCCCCATAATTATATACGAAGATAATGCAGCATGTGTTGCACAAATGCAAACGGGCTATATAAAGAATAACTTAACTAAGCATATTTCACCAAAATTCTTTTATCCCCACGAACTCCAGAAGCAGGGTGAAGTGAATATACTGCAAGTCAGATCATATGACAATCTCGCAGATTTGTTTACAAAATCCCTTTCAGACACACATTTAAAAGATATGTCCGGGAGATTGGCATGAAATTCTTGAGTGGCTTGCAGAGCTCAGGGGGAGTAAATCCCTAATTATTAGTTCATATTCTTAACATCCGGAAGATGTTGAAACCCGTGGTCTTGAAGATTATAAGATATATATGTTGCATACATATGTGCGGCAAGAATGTACTCTCTTATCTGTTCTTTTTTTTCCACTGGATTTTTGGATAGAGTTTTTGACGAGGCATAAGTTTGTCGTGGTATTAGCCCAAGGGGGAGTGTTATGAAACTAATTATGCTAGTGGACTTATATCGAATTAACTCTTGAAGCTCAAGAGCTCAAGAGTTATAACTGAAAAAGTTAAAGGGTCATCTTCTGTCTATATAAGGAATCTATGTATTCACTATTCGAGATGGGAAAAATAAGAGAAGACTGGTTCCACAAATACTTTGTCTATATTGTCATTCTATTTTTACGTGATCTTGCAATTGAAACGAAAGACGGGATATTCTACTCATTTTTACGTCTCTTTTTTGTTTGTGTAACACATCGGGATACGTAACTATTACATATTATAATAGCTAGTACGTGTGATGGGTGACCTGGCGCTGCCGATGGATGGAGCTGGAGCCGGAACGACACGGCGCGCCGACGACGCGGCCTGACGGCCGGCCCGTGCATTTGTGATTTGTCCTACGTGCTACGTCCACCGCGTACGCAACGTACAAGTACGTGCGTGCAGTCGCCACTCATGCCAGGCACCCAGGCCAGGTTCCAAGGCTGCCATCTGCATGCATGCGCTGCAACTTGGTTGTTGCCTCATCACATCACGGATCTACGGATCCACGGCACAATTGGGAGGGAAACTGGGAGAGGGAAGGGGAAGCTTTACGCTGCCGCGGCCCTGCTGCTGCGCCGTGCCGCTTTTATGGCCGTCACACGCCGCAGTCGCTGCTTTTGATGCAATCCATCCATCCAACAACACAGGGGCAACCGTGTCAGTGGTGCCGCGCGCAGCAGCCGAGCATCGTGTTCGTGCAGCCGCTGTGCCACCACCAGCCCACCATGCAAGCACGCGGGAGCCCGGGACGGGACGCCGGATGCATTCGTTTGATCATTTCCCCGGCTCCTCGTCGCCCGGCACAGCGCCCTGGCCTGGCCTGCCCCGCGCGCGCAGCAGGCAGAAGAGAACCAAGCGGGCAGACAAGGCGACATCGTGAGTGGCATGGCGTTGGCATGCATCGAAAGCGGTGGCTCAGCGCTCCGTGCCCGATCTGTTCTTGGTGCCGTTGCCGTCGGCAAAGCGGGGCCTCGTCTTTCTCTCTCTGTCTGTCTCCACGTCCGTCACCCCGGCCTCTCTGGCTCTCTCTCTCTCACTCTCACTCTTTTTTTGTTGCCTTGGCTGCTGCTCCACGCGTGTAAAGCTCACAGGGGCTGGCTCGAAACCCCATTTGAGCCCACAGCAACCATGATCCTCTCTTTGGACTCGTAGGAAGAAATTTAGGAATTCTATTTGTATGGATTGACTTACTTTAACAACCCTCAGTCCACAGAAGAAATATAATTTTTGCTTCTTGAGAAACCAAATACTTTTAAATTTGACCAAAATTATAAAAAAATATTTATGATACAAAGTAAATATCATTAGATTAACTCTGAAGTATATTTTCATAATAAATTGGTTTGGAGACATAAATATGAATTTTATTCACCGAAACTTGAACTACTTTGATGGGTCATGATATTATAATTGTATTCCTTCGTGGACGGAGGGAATATTATTTGATTTTGTAGGATTCTTTTTTAGGAAAAACAAAGAGAACTTTTCTTTATATTCAATTTCACAGGAAAATTACGAGAAAAAACATCTACACAAATCTCATTGTTTCTTGTTTTATGTTTTTTCATACAATTCATCTAAACTCCTATGCTCATAAAATTCTTATGTTTGCCACTCTTCTGTCTTGCATATGCAGTTATATTCTAATTTCGTTTTTTTTTCAAATGCATGTTCCAAAGAGGGCCTGAATATAATCTCAACAATCTTCGCGTCATTGCCACGAGACCTCATCTTCTCGTTAGTGTCATTTCAAAACTAAGTCGATTTCAACTTCGAGGTAGCCCACCTCACCCACCCACTCAATGTTAGTATAATTTTCATGAAATTTTAAAATTGAACCAATTTTTAATAAAATTTGCATTGTTGACCCTCCCTCCCTCCATAACACTGCTTCCAATTCCAAGACGCTACGAAAACAAGGTCTTACCTACCGAACTTGTTGGCGTGTGAATAAAAGTAAGGGGGGAGCGTGTAGCTAGGCGCTGTGGAGGTATCTAAGAATGTATATGGGGGTTCAGCTTTGCAGGGCACACTTGCATTTTACTAGCAACTACTATGGGCAGCTATCGTTTTCAATACCACTTCGGTATAAGTGACACCACTCGAGCTATGTGTTTGCACATTTCCACGAACTCAAGTCTCGCCTTGTGATTACAAAACTTGGTATATACGACGTCCAACAAGCGAGTAAAATACTATGCATATTTTCTATTAGAATAACATTGTAGAATTATTGGGGACTAGAAATTTTGGGAGTCAATAAACAAAAAGACCGAACTAAAGGGGTGTTTGATGTAGGGACTAAAGTTTAAGAGGTATCACATCGGAAGACCGAACTAAAGGGGGTGTTTGATGTAGGGACTAAAGTTTAAGAGGTATCACATCGGATGTCACATGTGGTGTCGCATGGGGTGTTCAAATACTAATAAAAAAATAATTATAGAAGTCATCAGTAATCCACGAGACGAATTTATTAAGTCTAATTAATCCGTCGTCTCACAAATCAATCTCAATCTGTGCATTTAGTTTCGTAAATAGTCTATATTTAGGTGGTGTTTGGATCACTAATATAAGGATTAAAGTTTAGCTCCTAAAGTTTAGTCCTGCTGGACTGTTTGGATCCATGGGCTAAACTTTAGTCCTATTTTCTACGATGACTGATTTGTCCTCATTTAATTATCTATGTACAGCCATGCATGCGAGCGGTAAGAGGTATGTGACGTCTAGCGCCCGCCCCGAGGGAGTTTAGCCTAGTTTAAGGCCTCTTTAGGAGCAAAAAATTTTAGCCCAGTTTTTAGCCATTTGCTCAATTTTAGCTCCATGTTTGGATCTCCATGGCAAAAAAAAAAGGGGCTAAAAGTGTAAGGTTAAAGTTTGCCATGAGATCCAAATAGGGCCTAATACACTATTTATGTGTCAAATATTCGATGGAACAGTGAGTAAAGTTTAGGAGTTGAAACAAAAAAAAAAAAACTTAATGAGCGTTTGGTTTCTAGCGGTGCCTCGCCTTGCTAGCATAAGTAGCGAGAAACTCAACATAGACAGGTGATCTGTTCTGTCTCTCCCACACCAGAACTGAAATCACACATGTTGCTCTGAATTCTCAAGGTGACACAGTGCCAAGAGAAGGAAATAAACAAACACGTCCTTAACAGCAAAATTCACCGCTTACGATGAAAAGCTCAAAAGCATGGTGGTTGCTATTATCCTGGTGTTGTCTAGTTTAGCTATCAAAGCAATGGTAACTCCGCAATTTACCGTCAGTCCGCGCGAATAAATTCATCGTTCATCATGACATTTAATGACCTTCGCTTATGTATTTCGTATTTGATTATGTACTTATGATCCGTGCTCATGCTCATTAGAATAACTTGTTACATCTACCAATGATGCATAGTTTGATTTCTAAACGTGGGTTTCGACTTTCGTTAAAACGTACTACCATATCGGCTAGTAAGTGTAAATTTTGGAGGTGACTACATTTTCATACCATATACTACAACAACAAACCACGTAACAAACTACTAATATAACGCCGAACTTTACTGCTGGGGAGGTTCAATTCAACAAAAGACTCGACTCAGCTAGGCGTAACCTGCCAAACAGGCCAACCCTAACCCAGCCCAACAAGAACCAGTAAACCGCCCAGGTCATCACCATCACTAGATCACTAGGCTTGGGCAGCAGCGAGGAAAGCTGCCGCAGTCAAACAGCACATAAAAGCCAAAGCCACCAGAGCAGCAGCAATAGAAGCGAGCGACTGAGCGAGCGAGCGAGCGGCGGGGGCGAGGAGTGGAGGACGAGGACCAGGCCAGCACCCAGCAGCCCCGGCGGAGAGGCGTCCCCAATGGCAGCTGCAGCTTCGCCCGCCGCCGCCTTTCCCCACCTCCACTCCCTCTCCTCCTAATCCCCTTCCATTTCTCCCCCAACCCCCTCCTGCTTCCTCGCCAGTTGGTTCGTTCCGCACCCGCAGCCGTCGCCGTCGCCGTCGCCGCATTGGGGGACGCAATGGAGCAGGTAAGCGAGCGATCTGGCCCGATTCGGACTCGAGGGTTTTGATTTGGTTTCTCTGATTGAGCGTGTTCGGCTGTTCGCGTGCGTGCGTGCTGGCTGCAGTACGAGAAGCAGGAGAAGATCGGGGAGGGCACGTACGGGGTGGTGTACAAGGGGCTGGACAAGGCCACCAACGAGACGATCGCGCTCAAGAAGATCCGCCTCGAGCAGGAGGACGAGGGCGTCCCGTCCACCGCCATCCGCGAGATCTCTCTCCTCAAGGAGATGAACCACGACAACATCGTCAGGTCCGCTGCGCCTGCGCTGTCCTCCCTCCTCCATTAAATTTCCCATTTTGCATTGCCCTGTTCTAGCTGTTACTACGACGGATTCAGGATCGATCGATCGACCAACGCATCCGTGATCGATCGATTCGTTGGTCGGTCCAAGTGGGCAGTGCCTCCAGTTTAGCTTTGGTGGTTTTATGCAACAGTGGGTAGGTGTCGTTTTAGGATGGGGTTCGTTCATCGGTGGAAATGATGGTGTTGGTGTGTGTCCAGTGAAGTAAAGCGGTAGCATTTGATGGTGTGATGGCCTGTAGTGTTGGTACGCTGAGAAGCTTTACTCTTCTGCGTGCAGGTTACATGATGTTATCCACAGCGAGAAGCGCATATATCTTGTCTTCGAGTTCCTGGATCTGGACCTGAAGAAGTTCATGGACAATTGCCCGGAGTTTGCTAAGAATCCCACTTTGATTAAGGTGAGAAGCGCAGAATATGATAGTTTCTAATTGCGAGTCTACACCTTGCTTCTGTTCAGTTCCGCATATAGATAAACTCGAAGTTGGCTCATGCATTTATTGATTACTGATTTGGTATATGCTAGCACAACTTGTTATGCTATTCTTGGAATTGAACTTGCAACGGAACAATGGCAATGTGGAACTGAAAACTAAAGAACATCTCAAGGTTGTAGAGTAGAGGCCGATCTAGTGTCTTCCTATTGCATGTAAAACCTTTTTTGTCCCCATCTGATGCGCTAGAATTTAGATAGAAGACAGAGATGGATCCCACATCATCAGTTGAGCTCAATATATGCCGTATTTGCCTGTTGTCTTCTCTCGTCGAGCATTACTGTGTCTTGATACGGTAGGAGAAAAGTGCTTATTTTGACTTTTTCTACTTACTAGCCTTGTCTTTGTAGTAACGTAAACCAGGATGTTTGACTTGGGAAGAAGGATCCATGTTTACATTTCCTCATGTACCTCTTTGGTATAGAACTTGTGGCACTGTAAACATTGTTTTTATCCCGGGGAGAGAGAGAGAGAGAGACTCGCACCTGCTGTTTGGACGTATTTATATTCCTAACTTTGGAAATACCATCAACTTACATTATTGCAGTGAGTTTGGAGTTTTCATTCACATAGCCTCTAATGGCTCTCAGTAACATGGTATGACCTGTTTATTTGTGACCCCATGCACTGCATATTTCCTTATAAGGTTATCTTGGGCTTTACATAGCACATGGTTTTATCTCCTCAAGTAAACAGACACTATCCTAGTGACTTTAGATCAACTTTTTCTCCACAGTAACTCCTGTGAATGCCAGATGTGTTCACTGACTGTTATTGTCGATTCTTTGCTGTAAAGTGACTGGCAATGTAGCGTGACCATACCAGAACTGTGGGATTCTCGTGTTGGTGCCACCGTGCCTCTGCTCCAATGCCCGCTATTTTTGTGTACTATTAACTCGGTACTGGTACTGCATGTGCTTCCACTAGTTCTCTAACATGTTTTTAGGAGTTAGCTGATCCCGTTATACATTGCACTGTAGTCAATGTGGCACAACAGATTACTACTTACTTGGTTGGAGTGTGTTATATAGTGAACAAGACTAACGTAACTAGAAGTTTTTTCATCCTATTTATTTATTTCCCTTTCCTCATTTTCATTTTATCGCGTAAGCAGAAAATGAATGAGATGCTTGTGGATGCATTTTGAAATGTGACTATTGTCTTCTTTCTGCAGTCATACCTCTACCAGATACTCCGTGGTGTTGCTTACTGCCATTCTCATAGATTTCTTCATCGAGATTTGAAACCTCAGAACTTATTGATAGATCGGCGTACTAATACACTGAAGCTTGCAGACTTTGGTTTATCCAGGGCATTTGGAATTCCTGTCCGTACATTCACTCATGAGGTACATTTGTTATGCTCTTAACTCGAGAAAGGGAGTTTGAATTGTCCTGTTAGGGAAAAAATATTGTGAGGGATGCCAAAATTATGGATCCCTGCGATTTTATACCCATATATAACGTAACTTTTTGTTGTCTATTCTAGTCACATTAACTCACAATACATATCTATGGAAGTATTTTTCAGGTAGTGACATTATGGTACAGAGCTCCAGAAATTCTGCTTGGAGCGAAACAGTATTCGACACCAGTTGATGTATGGTCTGTGGGCTGTATCTTTGCGGAAATGGTGAACCAAAAGCCACTATTCCCTGGTGATTCTGAGATCGACGAACTGTTTAAGATATTCAGGTTCTATGATTGTGCTGGCATTAAGTTTCTTATTTTGTATTAGCATATTTTAGACTATCTGATTTTGTTTGTATCATGGTCACTGTTGAAGGGTATTAGGTACACCAAATGAACAAAGTTGGCCAGGAGTCCGTTATTTGCCTGACTTCAAGACTGCTTTCCCCAGGTGGCAGGCTCAGGTAAGACAACACAATAAGCATTTTGCTGGGCACATGTGGCAAGTGCATTGTGTATCCTCATCCTTAGGCCATAGCTTGCTTTTTGTGTTTGTCATATATATATATCCAATGCCACTGAAATCCCCTGTTTGTGCATTCATTCCAGGACCTGGCAACAATTGTCCCAAATCTTGAACCTGCTGGTTTGGACCTTCTCTCGGTAAGTCAAATGGAGTTCTGTTGATGATCATGAATGCTGCATCATATATCCTCACTGTATTGAATTCGCCTATTTCTGTTTGCCGATAGAAAATGCTTCGATACGAGCCAAGCAAAAGAATCACAGCTAGGCAAGCACTTGAGCATGAGTACTTCAAGGACCTTGAGATGGTACAGTGAAATGCTAAATGTGCCTGACGTTGCATTGGCATTTGTATGAGCTGAGTCGCTCTGTCGCTCGTTCCTTTTATGAACGCCTGTACTCTCGTTCTCTTTCTGCATTTTTGTCATTCAACTGGATATTTTGAATCTGGTGTGTTTTGAGATGTATTAAGGAATGTCAAGTAGATTACCGCCGTTGTCTCTATTTATTGAATGTAAATATCCTTCATATGTTTATTTCCCCCCCAAGCATCTATGGTTTCCTTTTCTTTCTATGCGTCATGTAATGTCGATATAAACGTGCGATGCGTTTTTGATGTCATCTTTTCCCATGTTATATAATAACTGCACACCAACTTTGCTCAGGATCTCACAAGGAATAGCAAACAGTAGCACGCACACACAAAAGACATTATTATGATAGCCATTCACTAACGCATGGTAACAATATTCTGAGATTATAGTTGATGAGCTCGAGCCTACCAAGTGTTCAGTTGCTGTATAAATTAAAGAATAGAAGTGGCCCCTTAAACAATATGGCCTTCTGAACTGAGACAAGAAACATCGTGGAACAAAAATAAGGCGATAATTCACATACTAAGTTACCTAAGATTACAAGTGAAACTTTTTATCTTTACAATGGCTGGGTGCAGACATAAAATTATCACACAGGCGACATGTCCCCCGTTATCGTGTCTTCTTCAGGATAGCTGATGTTCGCATCTCAGCATCTTCCTTGGCAAAGCTCCACCAAAGGAACGACAGGGGGATAGCCACAGCAAGGCAGATAGCACGGCCATCTACATATCCCCATCGCGGAGGAATGTCATAAGCTTCCAGAAGTACTGCAGCCGCACCTCCCATGGCAACAAATATGATCTTCAGCCGTGAAGGATGCCGAGTCATCACAGCCCACAGTGCCCATAGGAGACACTGAGCAATGCTTATCACACTACAAACCTTCATGTTCAGACCTGCAGAGTTTACAAGCGTGTAAGCCACTAACGCGTTAAATTCAATAGTGCTACATTTGTTCGCTGCTGAATCTCCGTATCCCATGAAATAGGAAATAAAATTCGTAGTCATAAGGTAACAACTAACAAGTTCAAAATAAAGCACCATGCTACCTGCCTACTATGGAACAACAAACAAATTCTTGATCCCATCAAGTGGCGAGCTTAATCTCTCAAGGAACTAAAATTCGATTTAAGGCCCCCTTTTGAACAAAGGAAAAAATGGAGGAATTCTAGAGGATTGGAATCTTAAAGGTAAATTTCCTATGAAGCCCTTTCAGCATTAGCATTGGGTTCCTACAAATCCTACGAAAATTCCAATGGAATGGATTGTTTCATAGGAATTTTGGATGAATTCTACCAAGAGGTTGAACCTCATGGAAATTGGAAAGTGTCGAAGACCAATACTAAGATACTCTAAGAGGAGGGGCTAATGGTCGTCATACGTTAATCCATCCAGGCAGTCAAGGGTGCGACTACAGCTCCAACCGATACCGAGGCCGCTGGCTCCGCTTCGCCCGATGCCTGAGGACGAGCTCCGCCTCGCCTGACCCCGAGGGCGGGCTCGCCCGATCCCTAAGGGAGGGCTCCGCCTCGCCCGACGTCTACAGGCTGGCTCCGCTTCGCCCGACGTCTGCAGGCTAGCTCTGCCTCGCCTGACGTCTGAGGGCTGGCTCCGCCTCGCCCGATCCCTCGGGCACGGCTCCTGACGGAAGCTCACGTCGCCGCCAACCACTACGTGTCAGAAAGTACAACCCAAGGTCAAACTTCTGGCATCGTGCAGGGAGCGGTCACGTCTCAACACGACCCATCCCAGCGACATGTCATTCCAGGGGACTCACATCGCCCACAGTGACGACGAGTGGTCACTGTACTGCCTACTCCCTGCATGGTCGCTAATCAACACGCTGGGTCGCCGCGCCGCCGCCATGGCGGGATGGGACGTCACGACCCACTGACAACGCCAGGGCATGGCATCATCAGGCGGACAGGCGCCCAACGTGGGGCTGTCCCTGTCACCACCGGCCGTGTCAGCGGGGTCCGCACAAGGGAAAGGAAAGGTCCGGTGACCCTGAAGAACTTCCTCTCTCTATCGTTCTTTTCTATTCTCCCATTGTAACCCGTGTTTTCCCTTGGCCTATAAAAGGGAAAGCAGGACACCCCACTAAGGGGCATCGTATCGATCGCATCGCACAAGAACTAATCGTACCGCATCAGATCAGATCAGAACCACTAGCATCGAACCTCGAACACACAGCCGAGCAGCGACGAAGCTCTAGGCATCCATTCGTTCTTTCCATCAGAGACTTAGGACATGTCTCTCTCTCGCCCGTTTGTAACCCCTACTACGAACTTTTCAGTGCTAGTAACACGAGCAGCAGCAACAAACTGGACGTGTGGTTATTCTGCCCGAACCAGTATAAACCTCGAGTCCTCTTAGCATACCATCCGAGCCAGACGCGCAATAATACAAATTTATTCGTTAGTGTTTACTCGAAACACCGACAGTTGGCGCGCCAGGTAGGGGCCTTTTGCGTGTCTCGACATCAACACCAGGCCTCGGATGGCTAGTCACAACATCACCTGGGTCCCGGGTGCGCACGTGCGCTTCGGGGACCTGGACTTCACCATCACGACGGAGGGAAAGCTGGCGCGGGTACCCGTCGTCATTCAGCCTCTCCACTCCGTCGGCCTCGACGCAATCGCCGAGGCGCTTGAGAAGCTGCGGCTGCACGCATCGGAGGCCCACGCCCCCGGGAGCAGCCAGCTCCTCGGCTTCGACTACGGGAGGCTAGCCAGCTCGGCGCCATCTTGAAACCCCGACCGCCCCGGGAGGACCTGCGTCGCCTCACCTTCTCGTTCGCCAACGTCATGGCACGGCTCGCCGAAGGAGAGCCCCTCCCCCCGAAATACCTCATCCGGAGTGCTCTGACAGTGCTCCCGTTCAGTCTCCGCAACGCCGCAGAGACTGTTGGCCACCTTGTGGCGTTACGCATGCCTCCATCCCCCGCGAACGACGAGTTCGTAGGGGTGACCGAATACGTCGCGGAGTCTTTCCACGACCTCCTCGTAGAGGAGTCGAGTCGCCCTCCGGCTCAGACTCCAGCAGGGGTAGTCATCACCCCTCGTGATTGCTTCATGGCAGGTACCTCCGAAGGACACGTCGAAAGCATCCACGAGGAGCCTACCCCGACGAATGACCTCAACGACAAGGTCGAGGGTGATGCAGGGGCCCCACCCCTCCTGCGGGTGGAGTAGCTGAAGGCCCGGCACCGAGAGCTCGAGGAGGCGCGACTCCAGCTCGAGTAGGAACGCGCGGAGCTCGATCGTGAGATCGAGCGCCACGGGGACGGTGGGTGCGCACGCGCCATGGCCAGCGACGTAAACCGGAGGATCATCGAGGATGATGAAGCCCTCCCACACTTCGTTCGGGCGAGCCAGAACATCGCTGCTGCGGCGGCCTTGCTCCGTGGGCTTTCGGGGGCCGCAACGCCCAATGAGCGTCGGGCCCATCACCAGATTCACACACTGCTCGAGCGCGCGGCGGCGCAGTAGGCCTAGAGCTCGCTGTCTCGATGACTCGAGCTCGACGCCAGCCAATGCACGCCCTCAGAGCGACCTGACAAGGACGTATCAGTCCACCAGGCGCCGCAAAGCGACAGGCCACGCATCACGGTTCTGGTGCATGAGCGCCTCGGCCGCAACTGTGACGCGTGCGACACCCTCGACGCCCGCAGACGTACCCGCGGCGATGCGGGGGAGGGGGCCAACTGCAGCTACCACCCACGACGTGGCGAACGCTACGACAGCGGCGAGGACCGAAGCCCGAGCCCCGGCCTGCCGGGACCTCAAGCCTTCGGGCGACACATCCTCAACGTCACCTTCCCGCCAAGGTACCGATCACCAACCAACGTCCCGAAATACTCTGGAGAAACAAACCCCGGACTATGGCTCGAGGATTATCGGCTTGCCTGCCAAGCCGGTGGGGCGGATAATGACGTTTAAATTATTCGCAACCTTCCATTGTTCCTAGCCGATTCGGTGCGGACATGGTTAGAACACCTTCCGCCCACCAGAATCCAAAGTTGGACGCACCTGGAAAAGATCTTCGTGGGAAACTTCCAGGGCACGTACAAGCGTCTTGGAAACCCATGGGATCTCAAGAACTGCCGGCAGAAGGCCGGAGAGACCCTTCGTGGGTACATCCGGCGCTTCTCCCGGCAGTGCAACGAGTTGCCTAACGTCGCCGACGCTGACGTTATAGCTTTCCTGTCTAGGACCTCCGACGAGTCCCTGGTTCACAAGCTGGGACGTAAGGGCCCACGGACCACCAAGGAGCTCCTCGACATCGCCACCAGCCATGCCTCGGGCGAGGAGGTGGTCGGAGCGATTTTCGACCGCCTGAAAGGCAAGACGAAGCGGGACGAGGACGTCGGCGAAGGCGCCTCCAACCGTCCCGTCAAGAAGAACAAGCAGCGGCGCGAGGGCTCGCTCGTGGCCATCGCCGACCGCAGGGGTGGTCGAAAGCCTGCGGAGGGTACTCCGAACCACTTTGAGAAGCTGCTCGAGGGGCCATGCTCGAACCATGCCTTCACCGTCAAGCATTTGTACAAGGACTACGGCCTCATGAAACGGTTCTTGTCCGGAGGCTCCAACAAGGGGGAGCACGGGAAGGACCCCGACCCGACCACGGACGACGCCGAGGGGAAGGACGACGGCTTTCCGACGCCGGATGGCTGCCTCATGATCTTCGGAGGGTCGGCAGCCTACGACTCCAAGCGCCGTCAGAAGCTCGCGCGACGCAAAGTCTATACGATAGAGCCGGCCGCACCTACCTTCCTCCAATGTTCGGAGTCCGTCATAACCTTTGATCGGACCGACCACCCGGAGAGCATCCCGTAGCCGGGGAGATATCCGCTCGTGGTCGACCCGATCATCGGTACGAAGCGGCTCTCCAAGGTGCTGATGGACAGAGGCAGCGGCCTCAACATCATGTACGCCAAGACGCTCGACGCCATGGGCATCGACCGGTCGCGCATCCGACCAACCGGAGCGCGTTTCCACAGCATCATGCCTAGAAAGCAGGTCGTGCCGCTCGGGCAGATCGATCTGCCCGTCACCTTTGGGAATCCGTCCAATTATAGGACGGAGATCCTCACCTTCGAGGTGGTGGGGTTCCATGGAACCTACCACGCCATTCTGGGACGTCCATGTTACACGAAGTTCATGACCGTCCCCAACTACACCTACCTAAAGCTGAAGATGTCGGGCCCTAGCGGGGTCATCACCGTCGGCACCTCCTTCCAACATGCCTACGAGTGCGGGGTCGAGTGCTGCGATCACGCCGTGGCAATCGTCGCCTCCAAGGAGCTTGCGACCATCAGGAAGGATGTCGTCGAAGAAACACCCGACCACCAGAGGTCGGCCGGGTCTTTCGAGCCAGTGAAGGGCGCTAAGGAGGTCCTCATAGACCCCAGCAACTCCAGGAGCAAGGTGGTGCGCATTGGCACTGCGCTTTTCTCCGAATAGGAAAGCGTGCTCGTCGACTTCCTCCACGCCAACAAAGACATCTTTACGTGAAAGCCCTCGTACATGCCAGGCATTCCGAAGGAAGTCGCCGAGCATACCTTCAAGATCAAGCCAGGCTCCAAGCCGGTGAAGCAACGCCTACGTCGCTTCGACGAGGGGAAGCGCAGGGCCATCGGCGAGGAGATCGCGAAGCTTTTGACGGCCGGTTTCGTCAAGGAAGTACACCACCCAGAGTGGTTAGCCAATCCCGTTCTTGTACAAAAGAAGAGTGGAAAATGAAGGATGTGTGTTGACTACACGGGTCTCAACAAAGCGTGTCCGAAGGACCCTTTTCCTTTGCCACGCATAGACCAAGAAGTCGACTCTACCTCAGGGTGCGAAACCCTTTGCTTCGTTGATGCGTACTCCGAGTACCATCAGATCGCGATGAA